TCAGGCCGGGAACTACAGCAGCCGAACTTCCAAAGTTGAGCGAGGCGGACGAGATGGCGGCCATCAACGTTGGCGATTGGCTGCATGGACTGAGCGGACCTATGGGTGATCTTACAGATGGCAGCGCGCAGTGGTGGACCCAAGTGTTGTTGTCGTTGGAAGCCTACTACAAGGAGTACATCAACGCACCCGCAGTAAGAAAGCTACAGTTGAAACCAGATGACTTCGCCTCAGACATGCTGAAGGAAGCTAAGTGGTTGAGGGTCGACAAGAGGGCAGCCTCCATGCTTTTGCAGGCGATCCCCGAGAACATCCGGACGGAGGTGTTGGCGAACAGGCTGCAGACCACCTTGTCAATCCTAGCGCGCATCCTAACAATTTACCGTCCTGGGTCGTCAGTGGAGCGACAGCAAGTGCTTAAGGCCTTGGAGCAGCCGGGGACCGCGACGTCGCCGATGGAGCTTGTAGAGTCCTTGCGACGGTGGGCCAGATGGCTGAAGCGAGCACAGGATCTCGGGTTACAGGTCCCAGACTCTTCAATTCTTCTTCGAGGCATAGACCAGGCGTCAAAGGGGCAGCTGGAGAAGCAGGGCGAAGTGGCGTTCAGAGCAAACATGTTGAGGTACAGTCTGGATCTGGATTCAGCGCCCACGTTGCAGTCAGTGGTCAAATATCAAACCCATCTGCTGGGTGAGTTTGAACAGATAGCCTACCGAGGACGCACGAGATCTACTACAACCTCGTCAACTCCGACCGTGAAGGCGATGGGAACAGGCGGGGCTGAGGCTGGCGCTGGTACCTCACCAAAGGGGGCGGGTTCTCCATCGTCGTCTTCTGCAACCAATCAGAAACCCTGTAAGTTCTTCGTTGCAGAGTCAGGATGTCACCGTGCTAACTGCAAGTTCTCACATGACTGGAACAATATTCCTCGAGAAGAACGCGGTGATCGTTGTAAAAATTGTGGTGGCAAGGGACATATGAGAAAGAACTGTCCTGTGAAATCCGGACAACCTGAGCAGCACCGTCGTGAAGAGGGTGGATGCCTTAACCCACAGGCCAAGATCAAGAATATGAAGGGTGCCGAAAATAAGCGAGATGATGGAACAGTTCCCGCAGCAGCAGCTCCACAGGTCTCGACGTCGGTGCCTTCTACCTCAGGAGGACAGTCAGGTTCGTTGGGGGCGTCCACAGACTCAAGCTCCTCGGCAGCGGCTTCGGGTGATGGGGCGTCGTCGGTGCGAGATGTGGACGACTTCTTGAAGAATGCCACTCAGATCTTGAAGATGATGGCGGATCAACAGACGTCGACAAGGCCAGGGCCCTCAATGAAGATATTGAAGAAAGTGATTAAGAACTATGAGGGAAGAATGGCTTTGGTTGATTCAGGTGCAACTCATCCTCTGCGGACGGCGACGTTTTCGGAGTGGAGCAAGGCAGATGAAGTGGACGTTGTGGTTGCTGGGGATGGAGTCAAGCGGATGAGGCAGAATGCCTCAGGCACTCTTTTGATGGGGCCCGAGTCCACGAGCGCACAGACTATCTTACCGCTGGGAAGTTTGGTGAGTGTTCTCGGGTACGATTTGGTTTGGACAAAGAAGAAGTGCATCCTTCGCTCGCCAGAAGGAATGGAAACCGTGTTGAGGGTGACTTCGGGATGTCCAGAGGTCAGCGAGGCCACCGCTTTGGAGCTCATTGCAAAGATCGAGCAAGAAAAGGTTGTGCAACTCAACCACAACACTGAGGTGACCAAGCAGGCCATGGCTCGAGCTCGTGATGTTCAGCTAGACCCACTTTGGGAAAGAAGCCTCAAGGACTATGTCGCCAAGGGAAAGTTCGAGGATGGCTTCAGAGCAATGGCTTCGGCGCCATGGGCTGCAGAAGAACTTCAAAGAGAGATGGCGCGCATCCTCACAGACCTGCCGGTCGATGACAAGGGGGCTTGGGATCTTATGCAACAGCTTGGGTTCAACCGGCGGATGAGGAAGCGAATGATGGCTAAGGACTGGGTGGTTAAGTTGTGCAGCGGTCGGCGTTCTCCTACCGACAAGTGGTTCAAGGCGGTGGAAAATAACGGCACTGTGGTCTTGGACATAGACACCCAGAGACTTCCTCAGCTAGATCTACTTCGGCCTGGAGCAGGTGTGATGATGATGCTGTTGTGGGGAGCGGCTACTGGAAGGATTGCGGGTGTTCTGAGCGGACTTCCTCGTCACAATGCGCTGGAGCACTCATTACGGGCGGTGGTGCTGTATGAGGTGGCCACGGCTGGACGGGAGGCTACATGTAAAGAAGCGGATGTTCCTTTGGATGGTGTGGCTTTTTCCTTGTGGGCTTCATCGGAGTCAGAGGAGGATGAGTCTTCGCTGGTTTGGATGTTCAAGTGGTTCAGGCGTTGGTCAGTGGAGCGGCGCATGGATCTTTGTCACTTCGAGCAAGGAGGGCTTGGACACCCGATGCGGAGACCTACTACGATGGTCACGAACCTTGATGTGGTAGAGCTGAAGGGGGTTCAAGACAGCCGTTCGCACGATGATGAAGACAAGGGGACATGGTCTCAGTGGGCTCCTATGTTCGTTCGGACTATGGCAAGAGGACTTAAGCGCTGGAGACTACGTCCGGGATGGTACACGAGGATGGTCAAGGCCATGAAGGCGAGTGACCGCAAGGCGTGGGAACGACATCTGGCCAATGACCATGTTCCGTATAGAGCTGACTGTTTGCAGTGTATTCACAATGCTACGGGAAGACCTCACAGGAAGTGCCTGCATCGTGACTGCTATGTTCTCAGCGCCGACACTCTAGGACCTGTGCGAGTGGCTGGAGTAAAGGGTGAGAGGTATGCAGTGGTGTTCACGTATCAGTTCCCCAAGCAGAAACTCCTCGCCGAGGACCAGCCGATAACTGATGAGGATTTGGATGGTTGGACTTTGGATGTGAAACCGGAGGAGGCCCCAACAATCGCAGACGACGCTGATGATTATGACGAATATGTCCCGGATCTGGACGAGCCGGTTGAGTTGTCTCCAGAGGAACAAGAAGAACTTCGTCGTGTGCAACAGGAACCCTTTATCGCGGCAAGAGGTGCTAAGAAGAAGGAGATCTCGGATGATTGGTGGGAATTCCGGGAGTCCTCGGGAGTCCTGATACGACATCATGTCACCCCAAGGACTGTCTTGTTCAGGCCAACATCATGGAATGGGTGTCCTATTTCCCCGAGTGTTCTCGACTACACGCGTGTGACGGAGGTGAAGTACATGAGCGGCGGGGTAGATACTGAGACATCAGATTGGCATGGGCCACAATCAGGATCTCGTGCTCTGGAGCGACCGTGGACGGGATGTACTATGTTCACGGTGTCTACGGCGGAGGTGCTTGAGGATGAGGCAGAGCTAAAACGCGATGAAGAAACTTGGGAAAAGATCATCGGTGACCTCACCAAGCCCGTCGAGATGGACACGATCTACTTGGTATATCCAGTACGGGCTCGGCGTGGAGGTGATGCAATGCTGGCGGTGCAAGAAGCGGTGCTGAGGTTGAAGCTGCTGGGTTTGCCTGTGGCCAGGTTGCACTCAGATCGTGGTTCAGAGTCAG